TTTAAATATAGGGAAATTGAGGTTCAGAAAGCTTCAACGGTTGGCCTAGATCTGTCTGTCATTAAGTGGGAGAGCCGGTGTGAAAATGTTAGAATCCAAGTGGTATTTCCCAGGTAGAGAGATGGATGCCAACTAACTTAAGGGGCTTGTACGAACAAGTTCATTGCCAGGCCTGCCTATAACCCAGATTTCTTGATGTCTTGTCCTGAGTTTCTTAAATTGGTTTTCCTAGCCAAGCTTCTCTAATGCCAGCAATGAGTAGATTAGCAGAGATTTGCCTATTGAATCCATCTAACCATCCATTCACCCATTCAGTACTTACTGTACCTACTATATATTCAGCACTGTGCTAAGTATTGGGTACACACTGGTGAACATGGTTGGGGCTGCTCTGCAGGGCTGTCAAGGGTGAAACTGAGATACCAGGAGAGGTAGCCAGAGCAGACCAGGGGCAGAGAAGACAGGGACGTGGTGGAAAACTGGGCCTCTGTGGCACAGGGTCCAGGAGAGAGGCTCCATGGCTGACGGTGATGTCTCAGAACCTCAAGACATCCTGTCTCTGTTGAGAGCCACACTCTGTGTTTAATGGCAGAGTGAGGAGGAGGAGTTGAGGATGCAGAAAAACTGGCTTCCAGAAGGATTCTGCTTTGTGGGTCTGCTTTCTCTCAACCCCGCCAGGAAGCGTTCAGATGGAGTCCACGTGTTGAAACAGCATCCGGTAAATGTCAGCACTGGCAGCACTCTGCAGGCCTGCACATCTCCCCAGAGAAGCCCATAGGGGGACTGAGAAACTCCCAGTGCTGTGCTGGCCAATGTTTAACAACAAGCTCTCCAGGCAGTGGCATGGGACAATGGGTTCCTGACTTGGTGCACTTTCCACCACTTTCTGTGGCATGAGTGCTCCCACCATGATTGATTTCAAGCCACCCAACAATGTGATGTCAGTCAATTTCCAGAATTCCTAAAAATAGCTGGCTTGGGAGGCATTGGGCATCTGGGGCCACCTGTGGTGTTGTCAGCACCCCAACGTCTCTGGAAGGGAGTGCATGCTGGCCACAGATGATTTAGGGGGTGGAGCCAGTACCAGCATGGACCCTTGCCCTTGATCCCCTTGCATTTGCTTTCTTCATCTTGGAACATGGGTTGATTACAGGCCCCCTCCTTTCTGCCTACCCTCCTCCTTGGCAGTTTTTTATTTCTGATTAAAAAATAAGAGGTAGATCAGACCTCTTGGTTTCTGTTTAAACAAGAGATATTTCTTGGGCTTGTTATTGATTTTTCTGTTATTCCCACAATGCATCAAGTTAGAAAAAGAGGTTAGCATTATTTTTCCTGCAAGGAAAAGTAAACATCCTATGGGCTTTTCCTCATACCATGAACTAGTGCCTTGTGAAATACATTACGAAGTGAGACACCATGTGACAGGTTCCGGGGGCTGCCTGCAGAGGAGCTCCTATTCCCAGCAAGCTGCTCCTGCCCTCAGCACCATTTAGAATTTTATTTGCTCAGCCTGCAGAGAAGAACTGCGAATATTATGGACTCTAGCTATGAATCCTATTAATGGCGTTTGGAAATGAGACTATCACTGTCTTTGCTATTTCATCGGCTGCAGATTAGTCATAATGTGCTAAGGACCCTATCTGACCAGAAGTTCATTTTAAATAGCAGATCTCCCATGCCTGAAGAGGGCTATTAGTGGTTACTATCTTCAGTGGACAGTCACAGGGCAGCCCCAAGAAATGAAGGTTTTTTAAAAAGCAATTAGATGGGCAGAAGGCCAATTCTTGAGATGGAAGGAGGCAAAGAAAAAAAAAAGGAACTGAAATAGAATGGGATTTGGAAGCTAAAAAGCAAGTTAATTTGTCATTGTTAAATGCAAAAGACACCCCTTGCCCTGTCCCCCAGTCAGATGACTGTTTGGGTTGTACTGCTGAGGTCAGCGGGGTGTGTCCTGTTGATGGTGACTTGTTATGTTGGTCCTGTCCTAAATCAATGGAAAACAAAGCCACCGGGTAGAAGTTGCCTTGTCATTTCACTGGTGTAGGAAGTCTTGGCTAATGACCACCCTTGCCTGGAAAATGTTAGTACGGAGCATCTCGGGAAGAAATCGAGGGCAGACACAATGAACAGGAAAGAAGGAGAGGGCGAGAGATGGGGAGAGAGGGAGAAGAGGGGAAATGGTCTTTGGAAAGACTCACCATGTGGTGGTGGCAGAGAGACCCAGCTCTGGAGGCACATGTGCCCGGATGTGAATCCTGTCCCTGTGCAGCACTGGACAAGTTCCTTAACCTCTCTGAGCTTCAACTTCCCCATCTGAAATGGAACCAGGGTGCCCAGGGTTGTAGAGAGAATTAGATGAGAAGGAAACGGAGCACACAGGACACACTCAATAAAATGTCTCCCTCGTCAGGGGTCTGAACAACTGCTCTGAGCCAAAATACAGTTGCGATTAGGCTATGCAATGGTACTTGAAAATTTCTCGGAAAAATCGAATTAAAGGATAATATTTTGGTGCAAATTTCATTTTATTGAGGATTTATTTGTTCATTTGAAAGGCAGAGTTGGAGGGAGAGAGAGAGGAGAGGGGGGAGAGAGAGAAAATGAGAAGTGAGCAGTGAGCGAAGTTATCAGGGAGCTGGATCACAAGAGGAGCAGCCAGGACTCAAACCAGGCACTTGCGTGTGGGACGTGGGTGTCCCCAGCAGTGGTTCACCCCGCTGCACAGCAATGTCTTTTCCAAATTTAACTTTCCCGATAGACTGATTTTATTATTCTCTATAAATTCACTACAGGCTCATTTCTAGAGGAAAAAAATTGGCAAACACAAGCCAAAGGAGAAAATTTAAAATACTGCTAATTATTCCACCCACATGAAGACATTAGGTAGTGATTTTCAAATTTTTCATTGTTACTGAATGACTTCATTCCCTTAGGAGTGACTTCTACTTTTTATTAACATATTTGCTTCAAGATAAGCACTGTACTTTTTGCTGAATGACTTAATATCCCCCATTCCCAGGTTCTTGAGTACAATTGACTCTCTGGGGAGAGTGCATGCTAATTCTATGGCTTCCTGTATTGGTGGATGAACCCACATGTGTCTGGTATTGGGCTGTGTTGTTCAAGGTCATTTTCTCATTCTTTGTGCATATATATGTATATATACACTTACATAAATATATGCCACAATGCTTACAGCTATTGGCTCTGGAGAGGGAGAGTCATGGCACTTAAAATTTTAAATATTCTCTTTTTCTTTGTAATGAATATGTATTATTTTGACAATAAGAAAATTCTCTCTCTGTGTGTGCATATTTGTATAAAACCTCACAGAAAATCTATTGAAACTGGCTTGCAAATTTTGTATTGTCTATACTAGAAATGTAGTAAGGGCAGTGTGTGTGTGTGTGTATGTGTGTGAGATAGAGAGAAAGAGAGAGAGAGAGATGTATTTCAAAAAGTTCATGGAAAATAAATAAAATTTATTTTGATGCAAAATTTGAAATTCATGCATAGATTTTTTTCTGTTGACCTTTTTGAAGATTTCCATGGACTGAAGATTCCTTTTTATAGACACATATATGTATACATGTATATATACACATGTATAAGTGTGTGTGTGTGTGTATATATATATACACACGTAAAAAACTGTCTGAAGGCACTTCAAAATGTCTGCAGAAAATGAAATATTTTTTAAAAAATATTTATTTGCAAGTCAGAGTTACACAGAGAGAAGGAGAGGCAGAGAGAGAGAGAGGTCCTCCATCCACTGGCTCTCTCCCCAGAGGGCTGCAATGGCCGGAGCTGTGCTGATCAGGAGCTGGGAGCTGGGAGCTAGGAGCCAGGAGCCTCGAGCCTCCTCCCAGTCTCTCACGCAGGTGTGGGGGCCCAAGGACTTGGGCCTTCTTCTGCTTCCCCAGGCCATAGCAGAGAGCTGGATCAGAAGTGGAACAGCTGGGTCTCGAACCAGCGCCCATATGGGATGCCGTCGCTTCAGGCCAGGGCGTTAACCAGCTGTGCCACAGCCATAGCCCCGAAAATGAAATTCTAAAGTGAGTTGAGGAGTGACATCTTGCCTCGAAGGTGAGCTAACCACATGCCCTGAGTGCCTGGGTGGGAGTCCTGGCTCTACTCCTGACTCTCACTTCTTGCTCGTATGCACCTTGGGAAGCAGCTGGTGCTAGCTCAAGTGAAGTGATTGGGTTCCTGTCACTCACCTGGGAGACCTAAACTGAGTTCCCGGCTTCGGGTTTCAGCCTGCCCCAGCCCTAGCTACTGCAGACATCTGGGGAGTGAGCCAGTGAATGAGAGCTCTGTCTGTCACTCTGCCTCTCAAATAAATACACGAATAAATGAAAGTATTTATTTTGGTGCAAAAAAATCTGAACTCCATGCATATGTATATTTACTTGTATATATATATATATGTTTTAAAATCTTTAAATAGTTATATTTACATATATGCATATAGTTTTTAAGTACATCATAATCTTTTTTAATATCGGATACATTTTATCACATTATTTCATTGGTTGCACAATATTCTGCATAGTATTCTGTATAATTATAACATTACCAGCCCTACGGTGTTGGGTATTTGGGTTTTCTCAATTTTTTACTGTTAGGCGTGATGCTCTGTAGATTATCCCTGTTTTCATCCTGAATTATTTGACATGTCATATTTAAAACATCTAGTAGTAAGTTTACATTAAGGATAAAATGTGCTCTAAGTTTCAATAGTATAAACAGTGGTTAGTTTCCCAGGCTAGCCCACAGCATTTACTTTAATACACAGTGGAGCTAAACTAGAAGTTTGGTATAATTATGCTATAGTGGGTTCAAAGGTGCCCCTACCCCCATATCATTCAAGCACCCATCACTGTGACTCTATTGGGAAAGTGTCTTTGCTGATGTAATCAAGTAAAGATGACATCATGCTGGGGTAGGATGGGCCCTGGATCCACTGACTGTTGTCTTTGTACTGTATTTGGACACAGGAATACAGGGAGGAGGGCCCTGTGAAGGTGGAGACAGACTCGGGAGTTTTGCTGCCACAAGACAAGGCCTACTGGAAGAAGCAGGGGAGGAGTCTTCCCCACGGTCTTCAGAGGGAGAGGGCATGCTGACACTCGACTTCAGAATTCTGGCTTTCAGTACAGTGAGTGAATAAGTTTCTATTTTTCTAAGCCGCCCAGTTTGTGGTACTTTGTTGTGATAGTTCTAGAAATCTAACACGTGTACCTGATCATTTTTTGGAATGTGTTTCTCCATAGAATGAATATTATAAAGGGCTGCTAGATTCTGAGATAGCCTATGAAACTATTCAATACGTGCCTAGCATAGTTGAAACATAACTGTCAGATTTAAAACGGTTTGAAGCAGTGTTTCTATGAATTACAACCACTACACCAGCGGGAAAGACCTGGAAGACAGTTCCCAGTTCTGCCATTAGGTGGCACTTGCAGCAGCAGGTTCTCAGGTGGGCGGCTCCCACTTTAACTCATCCAACTTAAGGATCACCTATTGTGCTGGTATGAAGTGATGGACCACACTGAGTCCAGTCCTGCACAGGATGCATAATTCAGTGGAGGATGAGGGAAATGGGGGCTTGGGGAGGATGGTGAGGGTGAACTGCATGGGCTCTTGTTGGGACTGGCGAGGTGGGCTGGGGTGCCTGGCGTCAGACCTCATGGTAATGTCAGCCTGATGGAGGCTCCCTTGAAATGAAGTAGGGATACTGAGAGGGACTGGGTGGGTATGGAATGGTAAGGGTTGAGTGTCTCTGGGCTGGAGAGCATCTACAAAGTTGGGTTGTTAGATTTCAAGGGATCGCCTTCTGTGTACATACGAGAGACAAATTCACCTTCAGATTCATCTGAGGTTCCACCCTCTTCTCTGTCATTTTTAGTGCTTGCTCCACCTTCTTTCTTATTCGTACCAGGCCAAGAAACCCAATCTGTGACTCAAATTTGATTACCATAGATTGTAGGCTCAGTAGGATTGTGTCCTTGAATCTGTTTAATTGGCTTAATCCATTCAAGCTTAGTAACTGAGCACCAGCCAAAATGAGTCCCAAAGTAACGGCAATGGCCTGCTTCTGGTAGGAAGATTGATTTAATGTGATGAGTGGATGTTTTAGAGTCATCGGTTAATTTCCTTTATGTTCCACATGCTAATTATCAGAGGAAACAATTTTATACTGGGATGAAAAGGATGAAGCAAAATATTGATTCTCATGACAAATTACTTGGAGTGAGAAAATCTGGGAAAGACAACAGCCATGACTTTAATTCTTTGATTTAACAATAAGGCAGATATATATCTGCCTGTTATCTCAGAGGGTAGGATATTGATGTTCTAAGGCCAAGGAAAGGGCGTATGACGTGACAATTCCTAGGCGACATTGAGAGTGGCTTAAACCTGCCTCAGGAATTTACAGGTCACAGTTGCTGCATTATATTGTTCACCCGAAATAGGAGACTTCTTGATGCTTTCCAGTGCCGACTCAATTATTTTTATTATAAAGTTACTTTAATATGTACAAACATAAAACTCTGCATAAAGTTTTCCTTTTGGTTTAAACTTCATAACATAGAGGTTAATTTTAATTTAATATATTGGACAATGTTTAGCTGATATTAATCAACACTCTCAAGCTGGCTATCATTCTAGTGGGCTCTCTGTGCCCTAGCCACGGTGTCCCTTTGCTCTCTTTATGTCTAAGCACAAGAATTTTTATCATTCATTTATCCGCTCTGTTGTCTTTTAATTTGAAGCTAATGTTTATATAATATTTTGCAGTGGGAACATAGCTTCTATATTTGTATTCAGTATTGCTTACACGTTACTGAGAAGAAATTTTCCAAACTCAAAAAAACCTGCGAAGTCCGTGATCATTGTGAAATGTCTCTCCAAAAGCTTGGGACATTCAGGTTCATGCAGAAAGGTTTTGTTGTGATGGTAGTGTTGGAAATCAAGCCTCCTAGAAGCTGTTAACCCTTCATAGGTGCTGGTGTTTTAGCTCATACAGCTTGGCTTAAAGAACATTGCCCTTGCTAGCACAATGTGTTGGAACAGCAGGGCATGAGATCAGCAAGGGTGGAAGGGGGCACTGAATGAGTTAGAAAGGAAGTATATTGCATCATATAATCGTTGTGCTCTGACCCTCCAAGATACAAGTCATGCCATGACTGTAAATTTGCCCCTGGCATTGCATTGTGATGTACTAGTAAGGGACAGGAAGGTTTCTGGGTCATTGTAAATATGAGACTTCCCAAGTCTAATTCCTAGCACCATATTGCTTGTAACTGAGTGACCAGGGATATGGTTTTGGAAACACTGTCCAGGCTATTGGCATCAGAGGTCCCAAGGACAGTATCTTAAAGCAGATGTTGCAACAGACTAGTTGAGGAGCCTGGGGCTGCTTTGGGCACTTAACATCAATGGAGAACAGGCTGCCTCTCTCTTGTTCCTCTGTCAACTCCGACATTGTCTGCATGAGCAAAGAAGTCAGCCACCATTTTTGCATTTCAGTCACAGGTAGAAGGACAGAGGAAGAAAAACACATTTCCTTTATTTCATGACTGGGAAGTTTCACCCTCACTTGCTTCTTCATCTGCAGTCTGCTCACAGATCATCCATATTGCAAAGGAGACATAGAGAATAAATATTCTTAGAGAAGAGGAAGAGAAAGACATCTGGACATGCGCTGGGTGGGCAACTGTCATCTTCCTTCCCAGCTCTCTAAATCTCCATCTTCCCAACTTCCAATAGGGATAGTGCTAGCCTGCTTCACAGGATGCTGGCTGTGAGCATTAAACTTGAGTTTCCATGGAGAGTCCGTAGTATAGCACCCGACATGTAGCAGGTCTAGGTGAGATGAATTGTTGGCGCTAGGCTTGGGCAACACTATGCAATGTGATCCATGTCTGAGGCTTCCCATGCCATCAAGTGATAACAAAGCAGCCTAGATGCCCAGATTATGGGGATACTCACAGTGTTGGTTGGCAAAGATGCCACTCTCTTGCTATGCAGAAAGCTTTCTGGTCAACCTCAAATCCATGAAGGCAACCTGGCAAAATGGTGAGAGCGTGGCTTCCAGAGCCAGACCATCTGGGTTAGAAGCCTGCCTTGTCCCTTAGAGCTGTGCCTTCGGAGGCAAGTTACTTCATGTCTCTGTATCTCAGTTTGCTCCTTTCTTAAATGAGGAGAACAACATCTGCCTGACAGTGTTGTTAGGCTAACTGAATGAACTATTATCTGTGAAGTGCTTACAACAGCATAGAAGTTGTTTTATAAGCTAGTGCATATTAAATAAGTAAAATTATTACAGGCGTGTATTTACTCCTGACATTAAAGATTTTTCTCCTGTTCCAGGTCCACCAAAGAGAGGGACTGGTTCCCTCCTTGCTCCCTAGAATGGAAACTCCATTAAGGGTGGGAATATTTTTCTCTACTGAATTCCAAGGCCTGGAGCAATACCTGGCCCTTTATAGGCACTTGATAAATAAGTGGATTCTGGGGAGTAAGAGCATGAGGGTGCATCAGCACTGACTTCCTAGTTTCTTACTGTGTCATCTGTTAGAAATGAGAGATCATGTTAGCAGCAGGGAGTAAGTCACGATCGTGATTGAAAGTCTTGAACCTCATCTCTCACATGTAGCCACGGGAGGAATTCTGATGTTGGAGGTGCAAACCCTGAATTCAAAAGTTTGTACCCTGGAGGACTGTAGAACTTTGACAGGCCTCTTCATCTGCAAAGTAGGATTCAAACTGCCTTATCTGACATTTTGAAAATAATGTGTCCACTCATTTAAAGTATAAGGGGTGTCTTATGTGCCTGATACAGTGAATACAGTTTGTTCACTTACTGTGGAGGGTCTTACTAAATGTGGTGGGAATCCCGAGGGAGGAAATACAACCCATAACATAAAAGAACCTGACCCAGCTGAGTCTGAGTCAAGCAGAGAAAGGCCTTGAGTTGAGCGTTTCGGCTTCTAATAACTGTCACTCATATCTGACAAGAGAAAGGCTGCTTTTTGAGATGTGAAATCAGGCTGATCTTCAGATTCAGCGTTTGCATCTGGTTAAAATGGTTTCTTCCAACGCAGGACGGTTCTGTGCACAGTCCAGAGGAGGCTGGCTGGTTCTGGCAGGGCTCGTCGCGTGACTTCCAGTTTATCTGAAGGGGAGGTAGCTGTGTGCTTGTGTGGCAGGCAGATGTGGTTTTGAACTCTGAAAGTAAAGGGACCCTGGGAAATAAGGAGGAGAAGCCTGAGCAACCACAGACATAGAGAAGAGAGAGAGGGGATGGGGTGGAAGGTGGGACAGGAAGGCAAGTGCTCTTGCTTTGGTGTCCTGGATTTTTACGTCTTGTGAGCTCAGACGGGAACTCCACTGAGCATCATTTCCAGGAACTCTGCCTCACCTGGGGGATGCCACGCCCAGAAACTTCCCTTGATAACACACAGAGTAAAGGATTCTTGTTCATTACAAGTGGCAGAAGAAAGAGAAGACTCTGTCTTTAAAGTCAATTCAGCAGAGGTTATTTGAAGTGGGGATTATGAGTAATGAAGAACAGGACAATGACAGAACTTACCGATGCAGGCAGGGAGCCTTAGACACAGAGAATGGGCATTGTGTCATTTGAGAAGTATTATCTGATCAAATGCTGCGGGTCATGATCACCTTAGGGACAGGTGCCCTGGTCCCTGTTGCTGTTGTACACCACACAAGCTCTTGGTTCTTCCCTGGTGTAAGTTGGTTCACTGCTAAGTGTCTACAAACCTATATACTTATTTAACCCAGTCTTACCATTCATATACTCATAACTGTGACCCTCTGAACTCTTAGAGTCGAAATTCTTGTGATGCTAATTCCAGCCTGGAGAGGTATTTTGGTGTTTATGTGGATTCAAATGGGCAAGGAGGATGCTTTGGCCAAAGTTCAGCCTTTTGCCATTTCTGACACTGTGTTATGCAGGCAGCTGATGACTTCATCCATCAGCAGCACAAGTACTGTGCCAAAGAAACCATTGACAATCCTGAAAAATGAAGACACTGCCCTCAAACACATTATCTAAGAAGAAAAATAAAATTCCCCAACTCTGGACACATTAATATGAGCTAGAACAGTGGAATCTGTTCAGACAGTTTTATT